TCGCGAACAACTCTCAATTGGTGTGCGTGTTCTGACCTGTTCGTGCGTCACCCCTAGCGCAAAGAACACTCATCAAGGTGAGCGCTTAGATAGGCCTTGTTGTAAACAATAAAAGGACGACTAGCATTCCAATGGTACAACATCACCTATGTTGTGCAGACAATTGCAGTAAAGTCCTTAAAATCAGTATTACCTGTTCTAGCTGCATTAGATCGCACTGTCCGCAATGTGTAGGCAAATCCGTCCAAGAATTGAGACAGGCAAACGAAGTTGCTGATACAATTTGCTTTTGTCCAACATGTCAAGTCATTCCAGTTGTCAACTATTTATCTTTGCTCATGAAAAAGTGCGATAGGATGACTGAGATAATCGCGCATTTTGTAAATACTAAGATCGATCCCACGGAGGTAAATATGGCCACGACAATACCTCAACCAGCCAAAGTAAGCTCCGAATCTAAGCCGGAAAAGAGAGCTAGATGCTCCGACCGCACTGCAGCATCTGTGACTCTAAATCCACTGGGTCACCTCACTCCCACAAGTGGACTCGCCCCAAACATGCCTGTTTCGAATACTAAAACCATAGACGCTTCACTTGGAGATTCAGCCATGACACCGACAGCTTAGAGCCGAAGGCAATCCGGTGCAGATAACAAGCAGGTAAAGTATGCATCGATTGCCTCGACAAACACACCGGGACCGACACACGTAGATACATCTTCAATACGGAGCACGCGTGGCGCAAAGCAGCTTTCCCCGTTAACTCCACTGGTGCCTTCTAAACAACCCGAATTGCCAGCAAAAGGTATAAGGCCAACACTCGCTAGATAAAACCGCGCTGCGTTAACTCTCGTGTGCACCAATGTTCCCGAATCCAAATCTAGCACAATAAAAGCAAGTTGCAAGACGATCACAACCAGTGGAGTTCCATCTGCGATGCGATTGGTATTCGGGTTGAGCCTGAAATGCTGTAACGCATAGCGCGTCACCCGATCTCAGTGTACTCTGGTGAACCTCGAATTCTTCGAGTAACACTAGACTCAGCAGATGAGACGTAGGCTGTCCTGCTCTCAGCAGTTCGCCTTCGCAACTCACCAAGTAGAGTGCGCATATTACCTGCTCTACCTTGGAAAGATCGCCCAAAAGAAGCAGTTGAACAACGCGGCATTCCTAATAGGGATAGCAAGAAAACAATATTTGTTCATGGTGTTCCCGAGCTTCTGCATTCTTCTGATCACGATGCGCAAACACATGACCGAGAGCAGTGGTGCTACATCCGCGAAGCCCTCTCTGTTGACAATGTTATTGCCAAATCTCTGACAAGAGTTCCGTCATCACCTAACTACAAGGGCTGCGGTCCAAGACTAATGAAAGTAATATTACACTCCGAGGAAATGACGCAAGTTCTGTTGGATAGCTGGTTAAAGTTTCGAGCTAGGTTGCCAATCGAGATCCGGCTAAAGGCAGCATGCCAACGCCAGACGGTCGTAAGCAATTCGATGGCAATTGCAAACGCTACAAATTCTTTATTTGCACAATCTTATGGAGAGACCGACACAACAGCACCCACCGTACCCAACAGGACAAAGCAAAACACGAGTGAAACCTCTGTTCAGGAACGCTCGATAATGCCATGCAACTTGACTGAAATTCATAAACCAAAACTCGATTAATGGTCGGCCACCTAACGGCCGGCTTAAAAACTAACACAAAGTTGACATCCATCAACGCACTCCTAACTACAAAAACTCTAGCTTGTATGTGTACAAACGCCCAAGGCCTTCTAAGCAACTTGGACGAACTTAGAGAACTCCATGCCTCACAACCGCGGGACCTCGTCATGATTACAGAGACATGGTTAAACCCTGAGATAACCCATTCTGAGGTCAACTTACGCGGTATGTCGATTCTTCGGACGGATAGAACCAGAAGGTGTGGTGGTGTGGTTCTTTATTATGATAAAGAGCTCCGATGTGAAGTTATCGATCACCCGGAAATCCGAACTCCTGATTCGCTTTGGTGCGGTCTATGGTTGCGAAACAAGGACACATGTCTACTAACCGTGATTTATCGCCCACCAAACTCAACATCGGAAATGCACGCCAAACTGAACCACGTTTTTCAGTTTGCTTTGAACAAGTCCTACACCCGCATTCTTTTCGCTGGCGACTTTAACGCGCACGACATGAAAACGCCGGCAACCGAGGTTACGCAGTTTAAAGCCTGCTTGCAAGAGCCAATTGCTAGCCCCCTCTGTACAAACACGTAACCTCTCCCACTAGATTTCGAGCTGCAAACTAGCGGTCGATACTGGATCTTGTGCTCACTATCGAAGAACTCATGGTTGGCAGGATAGTTACAAGTACACCACTGGGTCGTAGTGATCATGTTACTCTACTCTTTGACTATATATGCTATGCGGAGTATCCTGAAAAGGAGGATGATAAAGTGCATACTGTCACGCACTATAATGTGTTATCTACGCTTGTTAAGGATACATCTTGGACTTTCTTAACCGAATGCCCCCCAGATGTTGCCTGGGAAACCTTTACAAGGACGTTTAGCACACTGGTGGCGCACGCATCGGAACAGAAGTCCTTCCAATCCCAAAACAAGCATAAGTCATTTCTGAGGAGCAGAACACGTAAACGTATGTGCCGGGGGGATTTCGGATGGTGAGATCACCAGGACTGCTCGAATGCCGAAAACTGGACTGCATACGTGACACATCGTAACTTCTGTGTGAAACTGATCCGCGAAGACAAGGTCAGGCATCAGCAGGAGTTAATGAAGCGATTCTGCGCGAACCGCAACTTCTGTACAGGCACGTTAACGGCCTTCGAAAGGTGAAGCGGGGGATTCCAGCACTAGTCGGGGCTGATGGATACACGAGATCAGCAACGGAAACAGCCCATCTTCTATGGCTTCATTACTCCCAAACTTTCCAGCACGTAACGAGCCCAAACATTCTCTTCATTTCTAATACTCCACCATCTGGTTTAGACAACATCACCTTCACTGTGGAAGCTGTGTTGAAGAAGTTGTTATCCTTGCGTATCCACAGTTCTCCTGGAGTCAACAACATCCGACCAAATGCTCTGCAGGCGCTTGCTAGTTATCTAGCAGAACCACTGGCTGTTTTCTATGAGCGATGTTTGGAAGAGAACCGTATTCCACCATTATGGTAGCGAGGGGTCATCACTCCTATCCATAAAAAAGGTAGCCGCACTGTCCTTACCAACTACCGTCCAATAACACTACTTCCTGTGCTATCCAAAGTGATGGAATCAATCATCGCAGATACGCTGATGCAGTATCTGGAAAGCCACAAGTTAATAGCTCCAGAGCAACATGGCTTTCATCAAAAGCATTCGTGTAGTATACTAACCCACTAATTGCACGTAATAGCTGGACCGAAGCTGTCGATGATGGAGTAGGAGTCGATGTCATCTACCTGGACTTTACAAATGCGTTGATCCCTTAGACCATCGCATTCTCCTTTTTGAAGCTTCGGAACTTCGGCATTGGCGACCCATTCCTGAGTTGGATTAGTAATTTTCTACCCGAACGACAGCTAGTGGTGAGAGTTCGAAAATCATTGTCTGATGCAATCGATGTGGCGTGTGGAGTACCACAAGGCTCGGTTCTTATACCTCGTCTATTCTTGGTGTTCATTAAGGATTTGGCGAGTTCAATTGCTTCTGACTTCCGATTTTTCGCTGATGATATCAAGATATGGCGAAGGATCAGAGGACCGGACTACCACGAACGGCTCCAGTGCGATCTTAACACGGTGTCGAACTGGTCAGTTCAAAACGCCCTACCATTCAACGTAGACAAATGTCGCGTTGTACAACTACGCCATAGACATAACTACACATATTTGCTTTGGACAAACGGATTGCAGACCAGCTCCCAGGAACGTGACCTATGTGTGATCGTACAGAGCGACCTCAACTGTTCAAAACAGGCTTGGGTAGCTGCGAAAAGAGACAACTAGCACGTCGGCATGCTGCGAAGGGCATTCGGGAGATTTGACCCATCAATCCTCCCAATGATGCAAAATTCTTACGTGCGCCTGCATGTTGAATACGCTATCCAAGCTTGGCAACCTTGGTTGAATCGTGACCTAGAGGCATTAGAGGCACCTCAAGGAAGAGCAACAAAGATGTATAGGGTCTGCGCTTTTACTCTTACCACCGAAAGCTGAAATTGCTGAGAATTTTCAGCGGACTTTATCGAAGGCTGCGCGGTGATCTCGTATTAGCGTATCAGATATTGCGTGACCCCAACCACATATGCCGCCACTTGCTGAAACTTAGCCACAACACGCAGCTCAGGGATAACTGTTTTAAGTTGAAGGAACAATATACTCGTCTAGAGTGTCGACGGAATTACTTTTCCCTTCGGGTTTGTCAACCCTGAAACGCACTCCCAGACTCGGTTGCATCCTCTAGTACGTTGGACGTTTTCAAAAAACAATTAGATGTTGCTCTTAGCTCCCAACACTTAGTTACCTAAACTCCTCTCTATTGGGGATTACGCCAAGCATGCTTTTCAACAGGATTTATGTATGAAATGGACCCAAGTGAGCGACCATATTTTACTTTCCTCACGCCTTATATCAACGATCACTGCACCCCAGTGTATTTCTGAACGTTTACGCTCGATTTTATTTTAAATGTTTCACTGATGTAATTTATCGAAGTATTCATCTCGGCGGACGTTCGGTAGATGAACCAGATATATTTTGATTTCATCATATTCACTCCAACCATCCTACGGGACGTGTCAAGCACTTGCTTTTATCCCGTGATAAATCGTTGTTCATTATAAGCATGGTTTATGGTACCTGACGTCCTTGGCGACTTTTCAGCTCGCCATTCACAGACATGCCACCGTATTGTTTTAAGCACACTTCGTTTATTGAACTTCTCCCAGCCGAAATATTTCGTGTGCATATCACTGTAACAATGCTGTAATTGCAACCTTTATCCATAGAGACGGTGATTGGTGCCCTCGCGCGTGTCCTACGGGAAGACTGGAAGAAAAGCACAGATCTTGCTACCAATATCACCTACATTTTTTTCTGCTTTTCTTCGTTCTCCAACTTTCATGGAGTGATCCTGCACTTCAAAATTGGTAAGTCATTTGGTAGCCCATCTTGATTAGCTTGTTACGTGAACATATGGCATTTTTATGGACGGTCTGTATCACAAGACAATATTGGATTAACTTGGCTGAGTAGCCACACCAATGGTAAATACTAACTGTCGATCTCTTATAACAACACGTCCTTTAATTAGTACTGTTAGGTGGGGATAACAGAACGGCGACTTGAACCTCCTGTTACATTATTCAACATCGAGCCAAGAGTAGTGTTTGCCGTAATGTTTGGTAAATCATTAGAACAGGTGTGCTGAAACATCATTGTGTGAATGGACTGTGTTATGCAATTTCAATGTAGCTTCTCTACTGACTCACTAACCGTTGTGATAGTCATTATCCGCGACCCAGTGACTTGGGTGAACTTCCAAACGTCTCGGATTCGAACCTCACTCCTACTACTTCACAAGTGTTGGTAAATGCAAAATCATTCATGAATTGTAACGTAGCGATAAGGTATCACCTCTTACTCATCTGCTTCAGCTTCGGTCTCAGTGATCGAGTTGATCAGAGTTCACCTCAAAGTGAAACGCGGCCCACATTGGAATTGCGGTTTAAAACTACTTCAATGAGCCGTATGAATGCTTGGCACATTTAGTCCCAGTTCACCATGGTTGATGTGATTGATGGCGATGTCAACAGATCCACTTCGTTTGCCTTTCTTCAAGGGAATGTTGATGCGAAATGCTCACTTAGCCACACTATCCGGAGTGTCAGCACCTTTAGCATCTTTTTCCGGTTCATCACAAGCGAGAAAGCAACCGGTTTTTAATCTATGTCGAGCTACCTGTTTCGTTCGGCTGGAAGTATGCAGAAAGGCACTGGCATTTAAGGTTGCAGTTCACAGCATAGATAAATAAAAACGTCTGTTTCTCGACCTTTGCGAGTTGATTTTACGTGCCTGGCAACTCAACTCAGCACAGTATTCAAGAGCTTAAGAAAAAGTTTTGGACCCAAGATTAAAAGATGCATGCAGAAAAAGAAGCTTGTTATCTGCCTCTAAACGTTGTCACCATTGTTGGTTCTGTTTTCCATTTCTTAATAAGCCGAATTTTGAAAAATCTCAGATCCACACGTTAGCCCCTGCACACTTCCGCTGTCAGTAATTATTTCAGTTCTACTGTGTCATGCAGCAATGGCCGCAAAATATCCGTTTCTAACAAAACATACACTTAACTTCATATGTATTGCATCAGATGTCAAGAAACGTGATCCTTTCCGTCGTGGATACGGTTTTTTGGCATTACAAGAAGTATGCAACTTACAATTCCCGTGCCCGTAGAGCGAAGGGGAGCTAGCTTGTCGACCTACCTCCTCGTGTTGTCAGCTGGCTGGTTCGGAATTATCCCCCTCTTGCAGTATTCGGTGACAGTGTTCCAAGGCGTGGTGGGTTTTCGCCTGGCAAAATTCTCCCTATAAAACACCACAAATGTCTGATAGATAACACTACGATATGGTGGATTTGACTCATCACTACATAAAGTCACTGTTCCTGATTCCACCTCGGTGGAGCATTGTAATCCAGCAAGTCGTGGAATATGCCCATAGGGAAGTAAGAATTCAAAACAGAGAAAAAATTTCCTTCCGATAATTCTCTTCTGTCTAATGAGACAGGCAATGCTAGCTAGGCTATAAATGATGATAAATGATGAGTACTATAAATGATTCCGTCTAAACAGGCTGCTGTTGATCAGATTCTCCAATCGATGAGGATCGTAACGCACATGGGATCACTGGGTCACCGGCTGCGATCGAAGTAAGCGGCGCTCACGGTGAAATCAGGGCCAGGGCAAATGTAGCGTCCGCACTAGCGCTCTCTGTTTGCACAGTTCCGGTTGCATTAGCCGGAGCGCAATGGCCTCAGCCGTCATTAGTAAGCGTTCTCTAATATCTTTTGACCGCATTTTGGTGTAGCGTAGAAAACTTTAAGATCTTCCGAGGTCACAACTTTATTCCCACTTTGGATTAAATATTGCAAGATGGAGATGCTGATATGTCCAACTGTGCGATTCCCTAACGCTGCTGAGCAGTGTTCTGCTGTCCGTTTGGCCAAGCGTTTGGTCGAGTGTCCGATGTATCTTACAATACAGGCGCAAGTATATTGATATAGGATCATAGATTGAGTGACGTTAGGGAGTCGATCCTTAAGACGTTTGGTAATCAACGGGGCAGTTTCTGCAGCAACATGTAGGCAGGCAGCAGAGAAAGACTTGGCTATTGCATTTAGGAGTCTCTTATCCAATAATTCGAAGGCGACATCTCTTTTAAGAGGGACAGAAAGAAAAACATCGCGTCCTGTCAGGTTTCTAACAAATCGCCTCTGATTCATTAGTACCGTCAGCATTTATTGAACATAATCCTGTTTACTCACTGGGACAACACCGGAAAACAACCTAATCATTTGGACACAACTGCATCTACCAATCCAAGTGATTCTTTGTGAAAGCTGCGCATTTTCGACCAAATTAACGCAAATTGGTTTGCAGTTTTATTACCTTTGTCACTAATTTGACACCTGAATTATCCGCTGCTAATGTCAGATTGGAATTTTGCTCGTACGAGTAAATAATGCTATACTTCAATTCCTATTTGAGCGCGTCTACTATAGATGGAACGTAAAAGTTCAGGTGAACGTGACCGACTCCGAGCATATATAGACAGGAGGTTAGGTACTCGCACCCTACGCGAGCTAACCACGACCGCTCCAGCCGGTGAACCAAAGCAGAATTGACCCAATTTACTTTAGTTAGGAATACTGGGCGCGGACTGACCCGACAACATTTAGCGAACAGAGCATGAGCCAACTGACCATGACTGTCCATCATCATAATGATGGTTGACCCACGGAGCAAACGAGGCGACAAATAAGTATTGGAATGAAAATGAATCCAGTGTAACCCACGAGCCGCTCATAACTGCATGGGTACATGGACAACGGAGAGTTGGTGAGGCCAGACAAGAACCAAATTGGATATAGGTTAGGAGTAGACATAGGAATATCAGATGCAGGCAAGTGGATATAACGAATGCATAAGAAGTGAAAACTGGAGGTGGCCGGTGGAAAGCTGCCACGATTGAATGGCGTTTCACATTTTGCAGAGTACAAACAATTCTACTGTTCACCAGCACCGGATTCGAGACCACCATCTAGACTTTATTCTCGGAAAGCTGATGGACGCCCTTGTCACAGAACAATATGGCTGACCACACACTGTAGCTATCCACACGCGTACGCTTGGTAAAACCTCCTCACTTACAAGTGAACGCAAGTTATTGTCTACCGTCAATAATGCGGCCAGGGTAATTTTACTGTCATATGTTGCGGTGCTTGAATGGTTCTATTCCTAGGGACAATACATGATGTTCATTCACCAATTTTAGTCTATGGAGTAACCTGCATCGGCCGACCTCCATGCTTCAAATGCCATCATGGTGAACGCCTCTTGGTGGTCACAATATTTATCGTCCACAGGAAAGTGAATTCCGGGCGTTTCGTGGTGCACATATATCCGTACTTTCTACTTCTATCATTAATCATCGATAGGGGGCACATCAGTGATAGATTTTATTGCTTCTGATGATAACCGGGGTTCACTTTCCATCGAATACCAGCGCAGACGCTTATTACGAGCCTCAGTGCTACGCATTCCATCGAAAACAATAACTCAGACTCTTCAATCACAGCCGCTACTGACTGCAGCATTGTTGCCTTTAGCCGGGACACTTTGCCGTTAAAAATGAGGGCACATTGAAACATTCTTTTCTCTTTACAAGTATAGATCCCTATGGATTGATTTTTGATTTCTCAGAGGGATCGAAACCAATTCGGTCCGAATAAGCTCGTCATTTCACATCGATTGCATGTTTAAACCGCGGAGAATATTAAGAGTAGATTAAATTTTAACAAGAAGTGATGGGACCCCATGCTGTTAATCATGTCGGTTGGGTATTTTATCAGTCACCAGTGCTTGGTCCATGAACGTAGGTCGATATTTTAGTTTGGACTCATGTAACCACATGAATAACAGACAGAAATATGTAGAAAATAGAACGAACGTGAATTCTAGCTCGATAGCAGCGGACAGTGAACCTTTAACTCATCGACAGAAGAGTAAAGTGCCTTTAACGTTTGACTGCCTGCAAGGTTGCCACTTTCTTAACTGCTCCAAGTCCGATAGGGTTTCTGACGCTGATGTGACCTATTTTAACTCATTTCCATGGATGCGACATTCACTGACCCAATAAAGTTTTCGGTTAGCTTCTCAATCCTCATTCCAAAGTGCAAGGTTAGCGAACATTACACGCTCTGAAAGATGGGCATCAGAGTTGCGGGTGATAAGTCCTAACCAACATAGATACTTCGAACCTTATACTCATACGTTGCTACCTCCGGCGTTCAACTGTTTTATGCCAACTAGCAAATTTATGTGTTACTCCCTTAGCGCTGCCACCAAATATGGGCAAGGGTTTAATATGTGTATTCTTCGAGTTCTCGAAAGTCTGCCCACCTGCAGACATATTGGGTTTTAAAAGCGACAGAATTCACACGTAAGGCATTCTGATCCAGTGTCCTAATTAACCGACGGAATCATGAGTCAGTTACCTTGTTGTTTCACAATTTTTTATCAAGTACTGTTCCAATCGACTAACAACTACAGGACCGCAAGCTCCACGGAATATTGCGGTTTGCTATTTAGGATAGTTGGACGGGTTGCGTCAATGTTATTGCGCTCGGACAACGGGTCTGAGCATCCCAGTGCGATTGTGCCTGTTGAGCCCATGTTAAAAGTCTTAGGAGTATATGTATATGCGGGCGATCTAGTAGTATACACGGCTCACTCGCGCCAGGTGGTAGTTTCATAACAGCGAAGCGTCGGTGATGGGCACTGGTGTCATGGAATTTCAGTAGAATAGGTACCATGATGGATTACGCTCGTGGAATCAGTGCCGAGGCGAAAACACTTTTTCACCAAATATTTTGAAATCACAATCTGGAGGCTTACAGTTTGGCTTGCCATACAACCCCTCGTGGTGCCAGCTGGGTGGTTCGGAATTTTCCCGTTCCAGCAAATGGTTCGGTGGCAGTGTTGCAGGACGTGATGGGTTTTCGCCTGGCAAGCGTTCCTCTTATAAAAAGCCACATATGTCCGTTTAACCACACTGTGACGTGGCGGATGTGACTCACCACTAAATAAAGTCACTGCCCCTTGCTTCATCCTGGCGAAGCATTGTATTCCAGCAAATTTATGCTGTAATTCTAGGGAGCATTGGGCCCCTGTTTGACAAGGAGCAAACGAAAGGCGTATGAACTGAGCAATCAGTCACCGGCTCCCAGTGGGCGCGATTCGCTGAATTCGCTACGCTGCCTTGTGGGCAGGCTATTCAGCCGAAGGTTCGGGGTGGTGTCCCCTAAGTCAACACCCTACTTCGGCTTGGGCAACCGGGTAGTATCTCGCTCTCTGACGAAACCATGGACTTTGATGTGTTGTGTTGTGTTTTCTTTTACTATTTCTGTACCTTCTTTTGAGTCCCATGGTTTCTGATGGCTCTGTGTCTATTCGTAAACTGCTGCAAATATATATATATATATATATATTTATGTATATATATATATATATTCAGAAGATTCAAACTTGAAGATGGGTCAAATAACAGAAAACACATGGACTGTTCACTGATTAGTACGTGAAGGTGATTGACAGTCTGAACTACTTCCTAAAACATGGTAAGCGAAAGACAATGAAAGAGAAATGATTGCCTGCGAGAAAGAAACACGTCCATGCGGTTAAATACAAACATATTTTTAATTTCAAGAAACTAGGGGTGATTGCGTTGCTTAGATTTTAGGCGTAGTTAGAAGGAGGTAGTAAAATGTGCACTCTAGAACCATTGATAGTGAAGACCAGACTGTAACTCTCAACACAACAGATGCGCACATGTCCCGGTTTTACACGTTTAGTCAACGAGTTCCGTTGAATCGGGGGCAGCGGGAGAGTATCATCTGCCCTCTAGACCAAGCCGACAATACTTCTTTTTCTATGTCAACCTTTTTTCTCTGTCTACTAAAAGAGAATGCCGCTGACTTCGCAGCTGCTTTCCTCGATACATGCAGTTCTTACATCAAACCTAGAGCATCAGTTCACATAGATTCTTTTAACGTCCACACTGTAGGTCAGATCGGCCAGCAGAAATCACTGACTCTTACTCTTCACTCCCCTGATATTGATGTGCGCTGTTTCTCTGAAACACACATACAAGTTAACAGCGTCGTGACAAATCTTCCACGCCTTGGTTCTGATTCTGACGACGATGGTTACACTCTTCGCATCTCTGGCGATACTGAATCAATGACTTAATATATTTACGGTGTTTGTGTTACTCTCAGCAAACATGCTGAAGGTAATCTGCTTGACTGGATACCGGTGAATAGCCGCATATGTGCTGTTTGGCTTCGAACCCTTAATGACCTGGAACCAAATTTACCATATTGCCATCAGCTACAGATGGCGCACATCAGTCCAAGACTGTCGATCAATTTGGAGCACGTGCCTGGATTCTGACCAGCTTATAGTGCACGCACGCTTGGCGCCCACTCTTCCCACTTCAAAGAAGCGCCTATCTTCTGACATTCTTACCTGCAGCTTGTACTCGCAATGTGACGTTTAGCAATATAGTGCCGAACTGACCCATTAATTGTCAGTGATGAAGGAGGTCGGTGAGCCGAACGCTGACTGGAGTCGTCTCAAATGTACCCTGAGGAGTACATTTGATGCATGCTGTGAACCTAACTTGAGACGTCATAATTATGAGTGGATCAATGAGTCATCGATCAGCTTGGTCGAAGCACGCAAACAGGTTCCGATGGGCACTGACTTTTAGCGTATCCGTAACTCCCTGAAACGACGCATCGCAATGAGTCTTCGAATCAACCGGGAACGTTGGTGAGCGGCAACGGCCCGTCAGATGGAGAAATCCGGTGTTATTATAAGCAGCCGAGTGCTATTCCAACTCATCCGGAACACGGGTCCAAGAAAAACAATCCGTTAGCGAGACGATAGCTGAGAAAGACGGAGAGTTGATCCATTCTCAGCGTCGTCGACTAGCCCGTTGCGCGGAACATTTCAAAGAGCAGTTCAGCAGGCATGCTGCGACACTGCCACATACCGAATCGCCTGAACCGACGTGGCAACTAGATGTCACATCTTCCACTTTGGAAGAGAATTGACATGAAGATTCCGCGTTGTAACGAAACAAGACTCCTGGACCCGACGACTTTTCTTTATCATTGCCGAAAGATGGTGATGACTCTTCGTTGACTGAATTCACTTCTCTACTTGACACGATTTGGAACACTGAAGAGGTGCCTTCAGACTGGCGACTGTCAACTGTCGTGCCCATTTTCAATAAGAGTCAGCGTACTCTGTGCGAAAATCATTGAGGCATTAGCCTTATTTCCATTGCCTCAAAACTTCTTACGGTTATCATCCTTCGACGACTTACTGGTCCACGTGAGGACCGAATCAATGAAAGCCAGTCTGGCTTCCGCCCTAGTCCTGGTTGTATCGACCACATATTTACTCTGCGCCAAGTTTTAGAGCAGAGACACATATACAGACAACCGACTATGGTTGGTTTTCCCTGACATGAAAGCCGCCTTCGACTCTGTGGAACGCGTCAGCTTGTGACACTGCCTATCCACGAAGGGCGTGCTGGCTAAACTCCTTTCCAATATGAAGTCTCTCAACCGTGACTGCCGACGGAAACTGCCTTCCAAGCCCCCCACATCATGTGAGGTTCGTCAGGGTTGTCCTATTTCCCTTTTCATTTTCAAGTTCCTTATCGAAAGTAACATGAGTCATTCCGTTCTTTCAGACTTTACCGTATTGAAAGTCCCGCTAGGTGACCGACTGACAAACCTGGAGTACGCGGACGACATAGCTCTTCTTGTGTCTGACGTAATGGCTATGCAAACACTGCTGGATAGACTGGGCGTAACGCTGCACGCTGTGGCATGTGTTTTGCCCCTACGAAATGCAAAGCACTGCTGCAGCATTTGGTCAGCACGCCTTTATTTCTAGCTATCATTGAGCTGCGACTGGAAATGGTGTATCGGTTCACTTACCTTGGTAGCTGTGTCACCACTAGTGGTCACATCACTGAGGAAGTTACTTCGCGTATCAGCAAGACCCGTGTGGCTTTCCATAGACTCAACCATCTATGGACTCGGCGGGATATCAGCCTATCAGGGAAAGGTAGGGTGAATTACACTGCGGTAAGGCTTGTGTTACTATATAGATCAGAGACATGGGCAATTCGATGTGAAGACATTAAACACAGTCGTGTTTGACTATCAGTGCATACATTATTTGTAAAAAAAACATTTGAGCGGTTTGTTAAGACCATTCAGAATACACAGTTTATGTCTACATTTTTGTATAGTTAGCCCAGACTCCCAGTCTCGCAGGAGGTTCAACTCTATTACATGGTAGCATTCTTTTGTTTGTCCAAACCGATAAGAAAACTGCCTGTCCGCCGTCATACTTAACGCCGAGGTGGAAATAAATTTCCTGTTTTGAAGATGTAGCGTAATATCCATAATGGATTTATGGCTATGCTGAAGCCTCGGTCGCCATTGATAGCCTTTTCTTGTACAAACAAGTCATTTGCACTTATCTTCTTTCCGCTTAATGGATGAGGTCGCTTTGCGTGTCTCTAATGATTGGGTTGCTTTTGCCAACCTTCGCCATCTCTGATGTCGACGCGATCCGAGCCTCTCTCTGAAAGGTCGAGTCTACATTGTTACAGGAAGGGCAATTCTACTCTATGGCTGCGAGGCTTGAGCAAACCCGAGAAAAATGTTCTGAGTATGTCTGTTTTTGATCAGCACTACTTTCGGAGAATTGCTGGTGTGCAATGGTAAGACACTGGCAATGACGATGTCTGTCAAAGGACTTTCAGACCAGAAAGATTCTGCCGATAACTGAGCCGCAGTATCTCACTGCACAGGCTTCGGTGTCTTGGTCAAATGCATGCCAGCTCAGCGTTTACTTCACCGTGCCCTCTTTCTGCCTGCAGAAGTTGGTTGGAAGCGAAATCAAGTCAGCCAACGCTATATTTGGGTCCGAAGCATGAAGACGGTAACTTCACAAATGACCGTTGTGGGGTGCTGTCGACTCCTGGGCTGGGGGAGCAAGGAAGGCGAACACGCCTGGTTGGAAACGCTCTCGGAACTCGCACTCATTATTAGACATACTGCGAAATCTTACTCTCATGATAATAATTTTGCAGTATTTCCTTATACTCGTCATATGATATTCGTTCGTATGCTGCGGCACTCTGCCAATTGTACTTATTTGGCCAAGTGGTTAGTATGTTATGTATTATAACTTCCCGCTTAACAGGCACCCTAACAATGTCCATAATTGAACACGAACTGCAGAAATACGACATTTGGAAGGAGGAATTGGAGACAAAGAAAGCGAAACTTGCTTGTTTGGAGCGAACGGGAGATGTGGCAGCGCGGAAAGAGATGGAAAGCTCTTATCAGGCCAGCCTGTCAAAATTCACCGTCCTTAAGCGCAAGCAAGAGCAGCTTTTTCGCGGTGAGCTACACTTTTCTCAATAATAGTTATCCTCATTGTATGGTCATATAATCGATTGAGCTGAAGCACTTATATCTGCTTGGATCAAAAAGTCACCCTATGCCGCCTCATGTGTTCTAAATGATATTTATAAACTGCGTCTCCAAACCCATTACTGATATTTGCAAATAACACATACAGCTTCATCCAAGTTGTGGGTTTACACTGGCCTGCGACCTGTAACTCTTTGCAACAAGGGAAGGTATTATTCTTCCCAACTTCGTTGTCAGCACGCCTTGGATAGAATCTGAGTTTTAGACCATATTCACACCAGTCAATTCCGTTTACAAACTTTACTGACGGTAGTTCCAATGCTCCCGTTACGTCTTCGTCTTACCTGAACCATGCATTTAGTTTATACGCTGTTGATGCTACTGCTTGTAAGCAGTAGTATTTAATGGATATGCTTGTAGCGTATGGCATTGCTTAACTGTAGTTCATGGTGAAATAATTTTAGAGGTTTTCACGAATTATCATGATACAGATGTGGCGTCACCCCGATAATGGAGTACATGCATTATGTTCTGAATCGAGCGAGAAGCACTTCACGCTTTTGGGTGCTGTCAATATTTTGTATCCGTACTTAATGAACACAATCAAATCGCTAACATTCAGATGGTGCAGAAGCAACACGCGCTGATAATTTACAGGTAATTTGAGTTATCCACCACTCTAGTTCCGGTACCGGCCATTTGGGGTGGGTTGCTTGCTACGGCATTTGTTACTGAACTTGGTTAACCCAAGTGAACACATACTTCCAAAACCCATGTTTCTCCTGATTCCCTACTATGAAAAGAGGAATCCACTTCGCTTGGAAACCGAGAAAGTGGAGGATCGAAAGTCATAGATTATATAGTTACTGCAGATTGACCAGAACTGTATGTGAAGCATTGGACGTACTTGGAGAGCAAAGTTAAAATAGTTCAATGTAGCTACGTAGTGTATGACGGGATAAAAAGCATTGCTTTACAAGACCCACAAGAGGGAAAATTGAAAGCAAAAATGTTCTAACGTGGGACTTGACTTCTGTTATAAAGACAGCGCACTTTATTACACTGTTGTGCAGCGTTTAGCCCTAAGGTAAAACTCTAAATTTCTTTCGTATGTCGCGATGTCTGGTGCGTTCACCACATGTGTTGGTAGCGCTTTCCAGTGGGTACAGATTCTACGAGAGTAAAATACTTTCTACAATTCAAACGGGATCGTTGCGTTACTAGCTTCATGTGGTGGCGTCGACATTGTTTGTAAGGGGCTAGGTTCAGCGGTGATGTGCACGGGTGCTTGCTTTCACTTAGTATTCGGTATGTGAGAACGGGATCTCGGCGAAACTGTCAGTATTCTGAGGGGAACACACTGAGTTAACGAAGGCGCAGTTCGTAGCTGAGATCGGGTGGTCCACGTGTTATCTTGGTGGCTGTTCTTTGGGGCTGCTCCAAGAGACGAATATCTCGTGTTAACCATGGGCGCCAGGCCTGAAAGGCATATTATAACGATTATGCCTAAGTCTTGTTCAATAGTCACCTATTGCAAGACGTGCTGTCCAAGAAGATTTGTGTTAATCAAGCTGCTACTCACCATCAGCAGGTAACACTTTTCCGAGTTCATTGGGAATTGGTTCCTTTCTGCCCGTTCGTTAATCCGGTCCAAATCGTTCTGGAGATAGGCACGAGCGCATGCTGAACGAATTGATCTCCATGTTTTAGCATCAACTGCAAATATCTGCACCGAGGACAGAATGTTTTCTGGGTAGTTATTTATGTAAAGTAAAAACAGTAACGGGACGAGGATGGACCCTTGCGGTACACCACTGGATACGCACACGCTTTCGGAATGAGCGTCGCCTATTCTTACCTCGAGGGTTCTATCTTGTAAATGATCTTCTAACTAGGTGAGTAGGAAACCGTTGGTACCGTATGCAGCACGCATTTGGAGGAGAACCAAGTGATTGACCCTATCGAATGCCTTAGAAAAGTCTAGGTAAACCACACCTATGGGGACTCCTTCATCAACTATCCTGCTGACGATATTGCCCTAATCTGGGACAGCCGTCATACCTACCAAGCCGCACTGGACAGATTAACACTGGCTGTCCATCACTTCGGGCTTTGCTTCACACCCTCTAAGTGCAAAGCGTTCCTCCAAGATTGGTCTGGACCGCCCCCTACGCTGACCCTTGGTTGGGATAAGCTAGAAATCGTTCAAAAATTCAACTACCTGGGAAGTTGTATCAGCGCCCGTAGGATTGAAGATGAGATCACGAACCGTATAGCAAAAGCTCGAGGCACTTTTGCTAACCTTCGCCACTTATGGCGCCGGCGCGACATCACTCTCGCCCTGAAGGATAGAGTGCACAATGCAGCCGTACGTTCGACCTTACTGTATGGTTGTGAAATCTGGCCCCTTAGATCAACGGACATAAAGAGGCTAGTTACGTTCGACCACTGGTGTCTTCGCAATTTAGCTCACATCTGGTGGGAACACCGCGTGAGCAACGACCGTGTTCGACGCCTTACTTACGGCACAGGAAAAGGAACTGAACCGCTCAGCACCGTTATTTCACGCACCAGCCTCCGATGGCTCGGCCGCTTGTTACGCATGTCAGCCCAATGATTCCCGCGACTTGTGTTGTTTGCGCGCCTGGGGTGTGGATAGAAAAGAGGAGAGGTGGCCAAACAATTACTTGGTCGAGAGGAAGGAAAGCCCTCACTTCGTAGTTGGCCTCGGATGGAGCGTCTCAGCTCCCTGGTTGTGGTCCGAAAGTCAATGAACAGGTTTGGCTGGATACACTTACTGATATGGCTAGGAGTAGACCTCAGTTGCAATCGTACTGTGATTTTCTTTGTCCCACCCTGGCCCTTTTAGCCTCCCCCTCCAACCACGATCTCACTATTTAGCCTTGTATAATTTTGCATAGTAATTATTTGCTTCATAGTAGCCGGCTAGTAGCTTACCGGAACAATGCCCATCCGTTTCTGGTAACTCAGTTGGCATGCAACTGTTGTATTTCTTTCCTTTTTCTTTTATGTATTGCGGCACGGTAGCTGAGGTGTTTCAAACCTCTAACTAACGTGTATCATGATGATGAGGATGAGCAAGGGGCAGGTTTAGGAGTCAAGGTTGTCTGCTTCTGAAACCAAGCTGGACATTGGAAATTATTTGCAGACTTTCAAAATATCGCGTTAGTACATCTGTGATTACCGGCTCCATCACTGTTAACAAAACAAGTAGGTAGGTAGGTAGTTATGTAGGTAATTACCAGGATCCAATCGCTTACCTCCTTTTTATCGCGATGATGATTCCACTTTTTTACTCATATGTGAGTGCATGGGGATCAAACAGACGCTGGAAGAAGGATCCAAGATATATTGCTATAGTTGGGGGGGGGGGTAAGAGTTTCAAGTATATTTGGGCAGATCTTGTCGATCCGCGTGACACTGCTCTTCTGAGAGCCTGTAATTTGCTTACGACAACCACTGGGATAAAGGTGACACTGGATAAGCCGATGACGTTTGTTGGGAGCTGATAGAGCAAATGTTCCATGGTATTTGTAGCCACTGAACCAAAGTGCAGGAGTAGTGCTTACACGGTATCCACAGCAGTAGTCGTTAAGCCACTGACCGTCTTGAGTGATGGTATTCCAGGCGTAACCTTCCTTTTAGCCGTTCAGATACCTGTAGAGCCGTTGGTTGTTATTCGCAAACTTGAGTACTGGCCCAATGTATCACAGAGGTATGCGATTGGGCCAACTCCACGGAGTTCCTTCGTATCCAGTTGGGGTACTTTGGTAATGAAAATCTCGTTTATTTTAGATGCCGAATAGCCTTATATAGTTGAACAATGACCAATGATTTAGCAGGGGTAAAAAGCAGTTACTTGACAAGTCCCTTAGGGTGGTTATAGTGAGAGAGAAATAGACCAAGGGGTAAGTAAATCGTCAGTTTAATTGACTACAGATTTAACCGCACTGCTGTATAACGGTAGCTTGAAATCAGAATTGAATGTGCGCACACAAAGCAATATTCTTTGTATTGCGGCACAGTAGCTGAGGTGTTCCCCACCTCTAGCTAACGTGTATGATGATGATGATGATGACACAAAGCAATATGCGGGGGGGGGAATAACTAAGGGAAATGACAATGCTTACTCATGTGCAGCTTTCTTTGGTCGACGGTCTACGGAAGTCCAGTAGTAGCGTCTAACAAATTATGTGCTGAGGCTGAACATGCGCACGTTGATTTGTAGTTCTAGCTTGACACTAAGATATGGCGGATTATATGGCGTAATGTATTGATATATCGTCTAGACGTTTTTAAATACCGTCAGTATGGGGGGAAGAAACAGATAAGTAGGGAGGGTGTTCCATGGTTGGCGCACGCAAAGTGAAAAGAAATGCCGGCGTCAATCCAAATAGCTATACTTTGTGGTCAGCTTTAGGTGGTGACATCTCAGAGTGGTGTTGTGATTCAGCTTCTGAAGATGACTACAAGCGTGGTTTGGATTCCTTAAGCTCAAAAATTTCATTATCAAATCGCCACGCGGGCATCCATATTGTCTACTGCAGACCCGCAGTGTTTGCAACCTTAGTTGGTAAGGGAGGTGAAACAGACCCTTTACTTTCTTGGTCGCCCTCCGTTGTGGCAGTTCAAGTGTCGTGAGGCCGTGCTTGTACCAGTGCTGCCACGCGTGAATATCGTATTCTTAATAGGGCCTAATGTAGGCATTGACCATTTTAGAGAGGATTGAAGGGTCAAAAAGCCCGAACGCTCTACGCGAAAGCCCAAGGTGTTATTTGGCTTTTCTTGACGCCTTCTCGGCCTGACGTGAACAGCCAAGATCAACTTGTATTTGATCATTAGATGTATCCACGGACGCCGCGGCTTTTTGGATTACCATGCCGGATTTCACTTTTGCTTCGGGAGTACTCTGTTATACGTGCTTTTTCTGTGTGAATTGTGCACCAA